ATTATTATAAATAAACTATAATTTTTTTTTTTTAGTGGAGTCAAAATAATATTGAAATATTGTATGGAGTTAGGTTCACAACAAATGTGTTTGTTTTTTCAGTTTGCAAAACTCTTAGAAACATAAATTTTATATAAAGGAGTAATTTAATAACTTCAAAGATTAAAATAACCCAAAAAGTGATGCGTGAAACCCATCAACTGAGCAAAAAATCATTCCATTTCAATTCCACATGATATGAAATTTCAATGTATTTTCGTTTCATTCATTTCAGAGTAGAAAACAATTCAAAATCAGGTAGTTCTCCAACAGGCATAAAATTCAGATCCTATCCAATTCTTTTCACAGTACGAGCCCTAGGCTGTGTCAGCATTTCCCTTTTTATCAAGTCATCAAATTACAGCATCTTGTTTTTCCCTTGGGAAGTTTCATTACATATCCACATATGTAACTGGATTCTTCCCCAAAAGTAGTGCTGGGACCGAAATCAGCTTCATTAACTGCCAGCCACAGCCAAGAGTGCCCTGTTTCAGCTAGTTCTCTTTCTTGACTACAGCAACAGCAGCAAGTGAAGATGAATGGAGTAGAGTTGGTGTGAACATAAGCAGGGGGAGTTAAAGAGAACATCTGAAAGTCTGGATCCACAGTTTTGAACATTCAGTTTGGATCTTGTTTAGCCTGTTCTGCAGACAAGGCTCAGAAATTACATTTGAGTCAATACTTTAGCTTGGATCTGAGATTTGGGTTCAAAGACTTCTATGATTTAAAAATAAATACCAGAAGGGATGTTTATCTAAGCCATAACTGTATCTACAGTGCAGATCAGCAAGCATCAGTGGTCAATGCAGGTTCATGAGCATTTCCTTTATTTGCTGTGGCCGCTCCAGCACAGAGAGTCCTGTACCAAGCTTTTAGTGTCCGTTAGGCCACCTCCAAATAATTGAGACCTAGTACTAATGTCCAAAACTAATTTATTGAAGTACAAGTAGGAGACTGAAGATGCAGAGTTTCTGTGTTTCCTTTGTCCTCAGGACATACCTGGATACTGTGACGCTCCCAGATGGCACAGAAATGATTAACAGCGGATGGCGTTTAGTCATCACTACTTCAAATCCTGCTGCTGATTCAGCAGTTTTATGCCAATTTGTGAGTGGGCCAGCACTGCAGCTTTCTCCCTCCAATGTGCCCACAGGAAGAGATAAGGGCACAGGACGCAATGCATCTGTTCTCCACACGTTTACTCTCTGTGACAGCATGATCAGACAGGACTGCAGCAAATCCTCTAAAACACATGCCCAGGTAGTGCCAAACCTCTCCATCTTCTGGCCTGGTCTGTCACCTTCTAGCCAAACTGAGCAAATCAGCTGGCAGTAACACACCCTCTGTACCTTCAGTCACACCCCAATGCTCTCTTCTCCTCCCAGGACCATGAACTTCTTGTCCAGCAGAAAACACGCCAGTAACACACAGAAGCCCTCCATCCAGTCACTGGAGATGAGAATTTTGGATTTTGGCAGACAATTCCCAATTTTCAATATAGTTTCACTGTTTTTCAACACTTACTGATCTTATGATATTATATCATGCATTATTAACTTGCTATCTGGGCAATGTCCAGCTAAAATCTGGTCTGATGTTTATTTGAGCAAACATTCCAGTTTAACAGGAACAATATTTTTTATTCAAGCATAGATAACCAATGGTCAGTGACCTTCAGGACTACTGATGTTTTTGCCAGATATTACCAAGCCTTTACCTCTGAATACAGGTGAGGCATCATGAATGTCAAAAAAAAAAGGGGGGAGGGGGCAGTAACATTCAAAGGGTACAGAATAAGATATGCTGGCGAATTTATGCATACATTGGCTATGCGTTTGTTTAGATTTTTCAGCTACCCTTCTCCTATACTCATCCTTGGCCAATCAAAAAGATTTTAAAAAGCAAGGCCCAGACATCGAAGTTCTCAAAATGGGTTTAAAAATCAAGGTTTTTATAGAATAAGTTAATCGTAAATTCTATTTGTCTGACTTCAAAACCTGCCCATTGTACACAATTCATGGTTAAACATTTTCTTCTGCATCTCTCAGATTATACATGTTAAGCAGCTGTATTCAGAATATGCATATATTATTTTGATTTCAAATGAAAGTTTTAACAACCTCCTACTAGATATAATTGTAAATACTATACAATCATAACAGTTGTCAATACTTATCTTATGTTAACCTACTACAACTTGTAAGCATGAGTTAAAGCTTAAATCCTAAGAACATTACAATGCCACAAGCCCTGAAAAAGTTGAATCCCTTGGAACTTCCTCTAGCCCCGTTCCTAACATCGAATTCCTAACCCCACCTTTTTTCCCAGCCTCTCAAGCCCCTCAGCCAACAGGTCAGTCTTGCAACATATCCTTAGGGTCATCAACTTAAAATTATGGTGTTTTTTTCTAGAAAGCAATTTGGAGCCAAAGACACTGAGGACAAGACAAGGAATACTGACACCCTTTTTTTCCCCTGTATTAGTTCTTGAGGCCTCCTAGGCAACAAGACTTTTGTAACTATGTTGTCAACCTGCTCACTTGACAGTTGGTCTCCTCCAAATAGCTTTTGAACTTAACGACTGTATGAAAGAAATTTGATAGACAAGGTGATGAAACTTCTAAAAGTTTGATAAAAAACTGGTGACTGGTAAGGAAAAATAAGCTGCAGGCAGGGAGGGGAAGCTATCACTGCAGTTGCTGCTTTGAAGACCATAACTGAAGCAAATTTGTATAACATTGCATTTGCATCAGAACGCACCCTGTTTAGACCCAGCAGATAAAAATGAGACATGAATGAAGACATGATACATTTACATATTTTTCCATCATACTTGGGGACATTTCTGTTAAGTGTGAAGTTACCCCAAAACCTGCAAAACTGGGGGTTTTTTGGGTTGGTTTTTTTTTTTTTTTTTTTTTTTTAATCAAGTTGTAAAATCAGACCACCCTGGTCTGATGCTATGAGGCATCACAGAGTGAAGAATAGTAAAGAAGATGCTAGCAAAGAGTTGTCCTATAGGTAACTGGACCCACATGTGTCTTTGTTAGCTGTACTGTTGCTCAGGAGCAGGAACACCAGCAGTTGCAGAGCAGCACAGGCTGCACGATGGATGAGGTCTTGCTACCTGCATAATTAACTGAGCTGTGCAATTTGATCATCCCAGCCTGTGAGTGAAGCACTGCTGCAGAAAGTAGAGAACAGTCAGCTAGCATAGCAGTTGTTCTCCCAAGAAATCAGAGATACCTGAAAATAGTTATGGCTAGACTTTAGGAAAGAAGTAATTGGTTTTTGAATATTATTTCCTTTACTTGTCAGCTCTCTTTTTCTTTTCCCCCTAGAATAAAGTTCTATTTATTAAGCATTTGATACTCCATTTTTCAAATGGGGAAGATAAGCCACTTTTTGGGTTGTTTTCTGAGATTTCCAGAGAGAGGTTTAGGATGGATATGTATTACCAACTCCTAAAAGTTTGAATGTGGATCACCTCTTACTGTTGCAAGTCAAGCCTTGGTAAAAGTCATGGAGATAAACAAGCTTTTGATAAGCTAGTCAAGACAAATGCCATGCTTGGATAAATATTCCTATTCTCGTCAGCAATCTGTTTATAGAAATAGCTTCATTAAAACAACATGCAAATCTTAAAAGCAATAAATATAAAAACAAAATAAGTATTAAAAATATATCAAACTGGATGAGAAATTATAAAAATACATTATCCTCACTCAATTACAACCAATATTTAATTAACTGTTCGGACTGTGTCTGGAGTGCTTGTCCATGCTGTACTTCAGTAATGGACTCCAATCTTTCTTTTCCAAAGAAACCAAGGGAAAAATTCTCCACAGTGGGAACAGACTCTTACTTCTGCAGTCAATTTTTCAGGAGTTGTATATTTTCTACTGCTTATTCACAGTGTTTCTATTTCATACATAAAAAATACATAAGCCACTGTCAAGAAAATGATTGGTGTCACAATGAACAGCTCAGAACAAAAGGAGAAAAAAGAACAAACAATCTGCAAACAATAGACGACTAAGGGAATTATGTTATAAATTACCTAATCTGATGTGTTTCTTCAGTATGACTGCCCATTTAAAAAATTAAACAGTATTGTAAGCAATGAATGGGGGGAGTGATTTGGAACACAGCAATGGTGTGAATATTATTTTTAACTGATGAGATGTCTTTCAAATGTCTTTGATTATTTACACAACATTTATTTCACCACTTTTTTTTTCAGTTTTCCAGAAGAAATTCTGAATTATTATAATGAAACATTATAAAAACATAAACAAAAGAAAAGCCCTACTGCATCAGAGCAGTGGTTCATCCAGCCCGGTATTCATCTCTCACAGTGGCAAAAGACAATTGTGGCTAGGAAAAACAGATGACCTGCCCCCTTTCTGCAAACCATTCCCCTGGTACTTTGCCAGTACCCAGAATTTTTGTATTAGGGATTTAAAAGAGTACTTATCTGCTTAGTCCTTCTAGTATCCACTTGAGGACCTGCTGTCCATGAACTTTTCTAAGCCATTTCTGACCCTACTGATACTATCTGCCTCCACATCTTTCTGCAGCAAGAAGTTCCCATTGCGCGGGAACTATTTTTATCCATTTTAAACTGATTCATGCCAGTTTTGAGTGCCTCCAGTTCTAATATTGTAAGGTTCTCCATTTAGCTTATCTACTACAGAGAACTGTTAAGTGTGTCCTGAACTACCTATAAAAGAAAGTCACTGCTTCAGTTCTGTGCATTTTAAAATGTGATTTCTTAGACATCAGATTGGATTTTTTTTTAAAAGTTGGATTATTTTTTTTTAATGAGGATGAATGAAATGAGGTAAGGGTTGAGAATGATTGCCCATTATATTTCCCAATGTTTCTCACAAAAATAAGTCAAAGAAAAACTTCAGTCAAACATGTAAAGCCAAGACAATTATATAGCTAGCACCTTGTTCTATAAGGAGCTGATCCAATCCTTCACATCAACCAGGATCTGGAAAATTTCTCATCTGAATCTGACCTTGACATTTTGGACTCACATTGAAATTTTGTATTTTCTTATTCAGATTTTGAATTTTGTATTCAAACTTCAGCCACTCCCTGAGAAGCTATTTCTGTCTTTTAGGAATGTCTTAAACTATCCTGAATAAAAGATTTGGAATACAGTGAGACAACATCTTCTCCTTTCTGCTTAGCAGAGGATATTAGCATATCCTGTGAAAGGTATGAATCTTAGTATGTACTGAATTCTTTTAATACAAAAAAATTACCAGCAATTCTCTAAAGAAGTCTGTGAAGATGAGGTGGTTTAGCCCCAGCCGGCAGCTGAGTGCCACACGCCGCTTGCTCACCCCTCCCCTGGTTGGATGGGGAGGAGGACGGAAAAACAACAAAACAAGGGCAAAGCCTCGAGGGTTGGGATAAGGGCAGTTTACTGGGACAGCAAGGGAGAGGGAAAACAATCAACAACAGTACTGATAACAGATAGTAACAATGCGTGATAACAGACAACAATTTACCGATGGGACGCTCAACCCATCCCGGAGCCACGCCGAGCCTGCCCCTGCCCGACTAGCCCCCTTTTATGGTGAGCATGACGTCACATGGTATGGAATAGCCCCCGGCCAGCTTGGCTCACCTGTCCTGGCTCCTTGTGACATTAACTCTACCCTTGCCAGAACCAGGACAGAAGGCTACTACAGCCAAAGTGCACACAAAACTTCTCAGATTGAGAAAGCAAAGGCATCTTTGTCACTTTGTACCATGCCTAGATTACCTCGGCATTAAGCCAGTCGGTCCCATTCTCTGTACCAGTCTGAAATGATGTAAAGCTGATAGAAGTCTGCTCTAAATTTTCTCGAGCTGAAAGAGTAGCAGGTGCTCACACAGAAGCTACAGACCACCAGCTTGCAAGTGCACCTTGAGCTACATCCTTTTTTCCAAATCTGAGTGAAACACTCATTTCCCTTTCACTAGTTGTCCGCTAGGGAAGGATCTGTAAAAACAGGGATATGGATATAGGCATCATTTGAGCACAAATATTTCAGCATATTTCCAGTTCAACTGTTTCTACAGTAGACAGAAAACCAAGATTGCATAATACATGCATACATAAACTGGGCCTTCTTAATGCCAGGCCCAGCAGCACACTGTTACAACCTAAGTATTTCTCATATTGCGCAATGCCTGCTTAAAGGATCACAAACACAGTCCTTTTGATGGGTAGTCCAGAGAGTATTATAAGGCCTACTTTACTTAAAATCTGCTCAATCACTATATAATCATGTACTTGCTGTTTGCAAATGTTAATCCGGGGTCAAGGTAATGGCTTCCGAAACAACACTTAAATTTATATAAAAACATGCCTTTTAGCATTCATTTATAACTTCGGTGGGCTACTCTGAATTAAAAGCAGACTACTGGCTTTACCAGAGCATGGGCAGAAATGCCCTAACACTGCAAACAAAATCCTGCTTCTACCTTCAGATTTTTTTTTACATTACTGCAGTGTTCTAATGCCCAAAACAAAACAAGTATCACACCTGCAGACTGTAATACCATTGAAACAGATGCAGGAGTGGCCCTGGATTTGGTCAACAAACATCACAGAGATGGCTATGTTTTTGCTTTATTCCGTGTTGCTGATGCACACAAACTACATATAGTAAGTGCCAATTTAAAGTCTCATTTACACAAGTCTCTGATTTTTAAATAATGATCCAGATCATTAAAAGCTTATGTTTATTGCTTTTAACAGAGCAATGTTGATGTAGTTCAATGAATCAGCTCTGATTTACACTACCTTAGTATTCATTTGTGCATGATTTATTGTACATAAGCTTGATTTCGAACGATGCTGAATACCCTCTATTCTCTTGGCTGACAGGATGCTAGCGTAAGAGATGCTCTGAACAGCTTTATACAACACCGGAAATTAATCTGTCCTGTTTGTTGTCAGGTCTCAGATGTTACGTTCAAAATTTATATTCATAGGGGTTTTTTTGCGAATGTCTAACATTCATTAGATCATTGTATCCTGCAAGATCGGTATTTTGTTATTATTTTAATTTTGGAGATAGCTGGATAACTGGAGGGAAGGAAAAAAGGCAGAGGAAGCCAAAGGAGATGAAAATGCCACTCTGAAAAACAGGGGAAGGGCTGGAGAGACAATCCCTAGCAGTCATTTCCTATTTCCTTCCTATTTCTATTTCTGTTTCCTAGAGAGGATACATAAGCCTCTCTCAATGATTGCCTAAATGCCAAAGAAAATCAATAGCAAAAAAAGCAATAGAATACAAAATTTCTCTAACTAATAGATAAAAGAGACCAAGGACATGGATTACTAATGCACCTGACTACCTTTTACCTGCTTGGCTATGAACCAAGAATCCAGGCCCATAGGCACTGTTTAAAAAGTCTATTACACATCTCAGTATGGCAACTGAAAAAATAGGCTAGTTTTTGATGGACCTGCTAAGACTGCCTGTTAGGACAAAAATAGCTCAGAAAGCAACCCAAAGCCCAAACTCCTACAGGTCTTCAGGTATACTTTCAAAAAAACTGATGGATATTTTGCTTTTCAAAGACAAGGATGTAGCAAGTGATACCATTGGGTTTTGTGCAATAGCCAGGTAGTTAAAGAGCTCATCTAGGAAGCAGTTGTCGTCTTTCGCATTAAGCAATTTAAACCCTCAAGCTTCCCGTCCTTGAAGAATGCTGCTGCCATGCAGCTATGTGTGTGCCACCCCTGTGAAGTGGAGCCACTGGGCAGTAAGACATGCAAAATTCATTGGATGAATGAGAAAATCCATAGTTGTTTCTAAAAAGAAAAATCTCAGTGTTTCTACATTTTAACCAATTATTGACTATATAAACTATGGAACCATAACTTGGAATAGGGACCAGAGCTGAGGATTCACACTTCCAGGTGAATGCTATCACCACTAGACTACCATGCTTATGTTTAGCATTGGACCCTTAATGAATTCTGCTGTCTTCGCAGTCCAGGACCACAGCTTCAGCTACCACATGGAGTCTATAAGAACAGAAAAGAACCTTCTATCTATCTTACTGCTAAAGAATTATCCCTGTAAGGTTTCTGTACCTTGTCAGACCTGAAGTCACCAGGTGTAGTCTCCTGCATACTGATCATGCACACTATTGTGCAAGAAGTTATGTTGGTTCCACTACCAAGATGACATTAAAAAAAAATGTTTATATATATATATAAAAAGACCAGAACATTATTTTTCTTATACCCATGCAATAGTGTGCATCGAGTTTATGACATCAACCCTCTTAGAAACTTAAGAAGAACAATTCCTAGCAGCAGAATTCTAGAAGCATAAGATACTCAAGTATTCACATTAGAACAGTTCTGGGCTTGTACAGGGAACTCTGGTGCCCACGATGTTTTTAAAACAGCCAAAAAGGCACTATATATGAGATTTTTTTTTTCCAAGAGCTATCCAGTAGACAAACAGAGGAAATTTCTACTGCATATTTGGATGTAGACACTTAATTTCACCCAAGCCCTCCTTTAGGC